GGCTGGAGTCTGAGTTTGAGGCGGAGACTGAAGCGAGGGCGAAGGCGTGTGTGAGCTCTGAGATTCGCGCGGGAGCAGGAGTGACAGCGGCTACGGGATCGGGGGAAGGAGTGAGAGCCGAGGCGGAAGGTGGGTCCAACTCAGAAGAGAGGTTCAGGGCATCGATTCTTGCGATTAAGGGAGCAGCTTCGGGAGAGGACGAGGAGGATGAGGAAGACGAAGATGAAGAGGAGGACGACGAAGAAGACGAAGACGAAGACGAAGAGGACGACGAAGATGAGGATGAGGATGAGGACGATGAACTTGAAGTAGAGTCTGAAACGAGGGCGTGGTACAGGGTAAAGTCGATTGCGGGGACGGGTGGGGACACGGCGGCGGGGGCGGCTGGCGAAGAAGAGCCGTCGTTAGCAGGGCGAGACGAGGTTTCGTCTTTCTCACTTTCTTCCAGCTCTGCAGACAAAATTATTGCATCAGGTAAACCACAAAACATCTTGACTCTACGACTGTACGGCTTCCCTTGTAGAAGCACCTCACAAACTGATTGTGAAAGCAGCCACGCGTATATTTCACGTTAAATAAATATGGTCACCGTTCAAATGCTTATTCATGAACTCTTACATAAAATTGTGTACACTAATGTTTGAGAAGTTGCCCGTGTTATTAGTTCTCTTACATGAAATAATTAGCTACACTGTTTTGAGACTAAAAATTCATATTACAACTTATTTTTATTGTATATCAATTGGTCCATACATACAATTTTTAGCAAAGTCCCGAAACCACCTTTGTTTCATCGGTCTGAGGGACATAACACCTTTAATATACACTAAATATAACCTAAACCTTTATAATCATGAAGCAGCGTATATTTACATCGTTCACTTAAAAGATACAAATGCAGCTGAAAAATACCGTCGTACCCAACTATTCATCGTGAATTGCGTAATCGGTAATTTTGCCATGAAGTTATAGATTACCTACGCACCCTGTAGTTCGAATGGGGCAATTTATCTCTTAAGATGTTGATATTGGACGTTAGTTATCTCATTAGGTTTGTGACAAATGTATCGTGTATAAGGGGGTGAGTGACGTTTCAAATATACTGTACTATGCTTCATGATGTGATATGGAAAGGTTATATTTCGAGGATGTTTTATTTGCGTTACGCATCCTTATGCTGGGACAATGTTCCGAAACTGTTGCAAAAAAATTATGTAATGACTGATATGTAATAAAGATCAGTTTTAAATGAAATATTTATTTTCTTCAAAACAGTGAAGCTAATTATTCCGTGTAAGAATGTATACCTCGAGTTTACAAATAAGCTTCTGAACAGGAGATCCAACCGCTAGAATTTTCCACGAGAATGGCTAAGAGGACAATAGACGAAAACGCGGGTGGTGGTCTCGGCTTTCACCCTTTACTCACAGAGGGTCGAGGAAAATGAGACCAAAATGCGCGAGGTCAAAGCTCTCCCCCTTTACGAGTCGAGTCAAGGGAAATAGGACCACAGTGCGCGAGGTCTAAGCTTTTCCCCTTTACGAGCACAGGGTCGAGGAAAATTAAGACCAAAATGCGCGGGTTGTAAGCTCTCATCCTTTATGAGCATAGGGTCGAGGACTGCAAGACCAAAGGCCAAATGCAAGGCAAGACCAAATGCGCGAGGTCAAAGCTCTCACCCTTTACGAGCCGAGGGTCGAAGTGCGCGCGCAGGCGGCTCATTATCCGCTCCTCGGCGGCGCTAAGGGCCATATCCATCCGCCGCTCCATCCGGCGTTCCATCGCCTCCAGCACCTGGCCCACGCGCGCTTCGATCGCCTCTTCCAACGCGTCACGCACGCGCCCCTTCATTTGCCCAAGCGAAGTTTCCACGCGCTGCATCGCCGACGACATCAGCTCTATCGACTCCAGGAGCTCCTCGTCCCTCGCCGCCTGCGCACAAGTGATGCAAGGAGGCGTAGGATACGCAACCACAGGGTAGTCGGGGAACAGGGTAGTCGGGGAACAGGGTCTGTCGCAGAAGAAAATTGAAACTAAACAACGGAAGTATTCATCCAAATCAAAATTGGTAAAATTTTGAGAGATGATTGATTAACAATATCCTTCACTTTCACTGGTTCATAGTAGTTTCATAGGTGAGGATTGTTCTGGGTTTAGGGCCTAGAAACGAGAATGCATATTACAGAAATGATCCTGTGAAGTACGCGAATAGGGACATCTCGCGTTCCCTGGGACCGAGAAAGTTAAACTTCTCTAGCTAAACCTTCTTCCACGATGACAGTGAAAAGTCCCCTTAATAGGCCAGCGTTAACAGTGATCTCTAAATATATCCAGAGATGACCTGGCACTAAAAAACCGGAATGCCTTGGCTCTCTACTTACCTGCAAAACGGAATGTAGCTGTCTTAGGCTCTAAAGAAGAACCTGTTTGGATTCAATTGAGAGATTAACCCGGTTGTACCGTTCTGTGATATATGATACGAAAAGAAATTTGTTCTCACCGTCATTGTTGACAGACATTTTGATACTTGCGACTTTTCTAAATATCTTTTGATGTAAAATTTATTTTTCTATTTGTTATAGTTATCCTGATAAAATTGAATCTTTACAGATGTACTACTTGGGTCTATACCACCAGACTGTCAAAAATCATGTTTCTTCGTATTACAACACATTATAGAAGTACTAATATCCGAATAACTTCAGTTAGTATAAACAGGAATTTACGTAACATTCAAATTAATAAGTATAACCAACATTCCTTTTTTAATCATCGCTAGTATGCAAAATTGCTCGAAGCAAATAGACAGGAACACTACAACTGTATACTCCATTCAAACCGTTAATCCGGCAATCATTGTGTTCAAGGTTCATTTGTACTCTCATTATTAAGCTTAATTTTTAGGAATTTTAGTTTTAACGAGATGCGTAACAAAGGTCGCAGTACTCTTGTGCACAACGTCCATTTGGGATTCCTATAATGTTCCAAACCTTTTCTTTGATATCATTTAATTGTGCAAGTATTACTTTTGTAATTTAATGCATAAATTTAAGGCCAAAAGAAATGAGTTAAATTTTGACTGAAATGTGTTTCGAGAAATGTGTGGTTGGGTCGAAGTATATCTTAGTAAGTTTTCTCGATCTCAAAAAGACCTACCCTCGTAGTTTACAATACATGATTCAGTGTCTACATGGGACTATTGCGCGGTATGAAAGCTTTGAAAACTGGAAATTTTCACTCCGACCGAAAGGATTAATTTTTCATCGGTAATTGACCTGTAGATTTGATTTAATTACGCTTTACTATCTGCGGCTCTATTACAAGTCTGCACTACTGGATTTACGAACAAATATAAGCTAGTTTTATGATACCGCAAAATTACAGTGATACATTTGAAACACTTCACCGATACGAAATTAGATTTACGAAGAACATCTGATCCGACTCCCTCTTTCTGTAAGGTAGAATCATGACTGAAAAGGGCACTAGAAATTCACTTTAATCTTTTAAAGCAATATATATATGCAAATAGTGTTTTCATTGTGTAACCGTTTAACAGTGCTAACGTAGCGTTTAATTTGTTACTTCTAGATAATTTAAAAGCAATACTAGGTTATTTGGTATAGGCGGAGTTCGTCATTGGGGTACCTGGTGGCCATGCATCGATGCCACTGATTTTAGCATTCTTTGCTATTATGAATCTTGAATAACGGAAGATCCTGTAGGGCCCGACTGAAAAGTGCTGGTTTCAATTCAATTTACGTTGAAAGTCAAGGCAGTTTAATTATTCACTAATTTTAAGACTAGTTCAGTTTTTTTCCTTTATAGAACTCAGTAATTTTGCACTGTTTGAAAATTAAAGTTTTACGAAACGTTATGACTTAGTATAAAGATATCCTTGATTTATTATTGACTTCCAAAAAGAAATTTAGAATATAAAAACAACCCATAAATCAGCATTATGCTCACTAAAATAGTTTTGTTTATACAAATTCATTTCCTAAAACCCTCCTTAATTTCTAGAAATTAAAGACTATACAAGAATTCAGGAGCGGAATTCTAGGCTCGTTTTGAATTCTATTGCGAGGTTTACATTGTATAATGAAATCTGATTCACGACGACATTGCGACGCATTGCGTGCTATTCGAGGACACTTGGCAGCAGCTTGGAAACTTAGGTTGAGTGCGTGGCCAGGTACCTCAGCGTCCGATGTCGCGGACCGCGAGGGGGCCACAGGGGTGACGGGCGGCGCCGGGGGCAGGCGCTCGCCGGGCGAGGCAGACGGAGAAGCGTGTGCCGAGGGCACGTATTCTCCCTTCTTCAGCACACGGTGGTGGCTACGCGACGCCTCCCTTTCCATCGCTCGGCTCTTAGATTATTCGATTCGGCAGCACTACCCAGCTCAGCCCAGCGCACCACAGCCTCTGCACCAACAGAACAGGGATAAACGTCTAAAAACTATTTAATATAGCGATTTTTAAAAATCAATTTTTCAAAATGTCATGAAAAGGTCATGGAAAAGTTTCGTAATTTCTGCTTTACGTTAACGAAAGTTCTAAAAATCTGAAAATTGCTCAATTCTATAAAGTCTATAAGTTTCTTCCACATATAGTGAAAGGAAACCTTTAAAGACTGGCGCAAATCTCATCTTTATTGAACTGTCAATTTTCAGAAGCTGCAAAAGACGATGCGAGAAAGTACGTGCTGCTCGAGGAATTTTTTGCCCCATCTAAAGAACTGGTGGATTGTGAATCCACATAAAAATTGCTTTAGCCACCTTTCTCATTAAAAAAACTTGCTTGAATCGATAAAAGATTTTATACTTTGTGTGATTACCAAGATTTTCTTTCTTATTTAATGAAGTTATTGTTGGTGCTCTAAAAGTGGATCTAGAAGATTTTACTTCGTTGCACTGTACTTTCATTCTCTCCTTTTCCCGTTAATTTTCGAATTTTGCATGTATTTCAATTTATTAACAGATTGTTTAATGCCACAGTAACCGTTGACGTTAAATCCCAATTTTAGACTGCTCAGATTGAAGAATTGTCGAAGACTTTTCAAAAACTAGAAAAGGAGTAAATCAACGTTCCATTGAAGCAAGGAACAAGGTTTAACTAAAAGATTAAAATGACTAAAAATTCTATTAGTTTGAGTATCTTTAGGTGGGACATTTTCATTCTTACATCTAATGCCCCAATTTTGGCATTTTGCAAGTTGGCATATCAATATGAACTTGATACAAAAAATGGGAGAAATTTCGGTGTAGAAAGCTTCGAAACACTTGAGACTTCAGCCATATGAAGTCTCAAGTCCATATTAGGTAAACTTATGTAGCGTTGAGACAAAAGTCGCAGTGTCGTCCATATGAAAAACATTATCAAGATTGTTAAGAAGGCCTTGACTTAAGGTCTATGCGATTAACATAAAATCACCGTGAAAGGATTAAACCATAATTTCCAAAGTTTTTAATCCAAAATGCTCCTCACGAACACGAACTCTTTACACTACCAATCCCCTTACATTAGCAAACAGCCTTTGGCTTATATTAACATTAAACGGATAATGTCGGAAAAGTTCTTTCGTCCCAAAGCCGTATCCAAACTATCCAAATGTTGGAAGCAACTAAACTGAAGCACTGGAACGAATGCCGTTACATAGAATATTCGCTGCTGATATTCCATCAGAGTTTCATGTTTCATACTGTGCGGGATAGTAACAAGTATGCGATCAGTTTCCAAGTCTATAGGGTGTAGCCAACATATCAAGAACATTATACCAGATATTTGCGATTTATTACACGATTTATAATACGCATGCAACGTTACATTTAATGAGCAAAATATTTCTTGCCCGCAAATTAAAGAGGTGATAAGTACCCTTACTCCGAATTTACGTATCCAGATCTTAACTAAAACCTTCATTAGAGTTTTAAGATTACAAGAAATTCACATCGTTATTTTAAATCTTGCAAATGTAACTTTTTTGCACAAAAGTTTTCTGAGAAGTGAAAAAAATAATACAAAGCGCGCATCTTCTCAACCAGTTAAATGCAATGTTTTCGGCGAAGGATCTACTAAGCAAAGCCTTTTAACTCCATTGAAATTAGTTTTTTGAAATTCCGGTAAGCGTTGAGTAAACCATTATGGTTAAAAAGGTCATCAATGGAGGTCCAACTGATCAACTCCTCTAAATGAGAGGAAAATGCGTTACGCCCGTCGTCAAACCACTTTTGCTACTTCAGATTCTATGAATTTCGTTTCAATGTGCCAGACGAACAGAATAACTTCTCTTGATAATGCAATGGCTTTCATGATTTAATGACTCTTCCCTTGCGTTGTGTTGTACAACGCCTATAAGTAATATGACTAGTCTACATGAATCATTCCACTATTTCAATAATTCTGCGATTTATTTTACAACTATATATTCCTTAATATTGAATTTCTAAATCATTTGTATACTTCAAAATATGTTTTTGTATAATTGTGAGTCATCGTGATTTTTTCAAGCGATAGCCAAGTGCTAGCACGTACAAAAAATATTACGTAAGCATTATGATTACGATGAAGTACTCGTATGTAGTGTGAATATCACTAGTTAAATATTTATAGAAGCAAGTTTCCTACAAACATTAAAAAATACGTTCTCGAAGTAATCTTTTCTCGTCAATAGGTTTCATGACCAAATAACAGGTAGATCGAAAACTTAAGAGTTCAACAAAACCTCAAGCGGCGAGTTTTGGAAAATGGAAGTTTTGCTTAATTGTAGAAATTTTGTTTAGTGTAAATGTTGGCCTGTAGTTAATGTCAAATTAAATCTGACATCTATCATCTATCTGACATCTACACTAACTAGTTTTCCTTGCCCGACTACAGTTTCGTTATGATCTACGGATAACTATGAAAAACTATTTTATATTTTCCTTAACGATTATTTCCCCGTATTATCAATAGGAATTAGGTTTGTGTTTACAACATTTTTATCTTATTGCTTGTTTAAATAAAGAAACAAAATTTCCAGTGGAATCTCTGTTTACACCTCAACTAGATCCATTTCTAAATATATCAACTTATTAAGGTAGTTTGTATGCCACTAACATTTGAAGACGAACTTATGATATTTAGATAAGTTTCTTAGTCATTGAAATAAGCGAGAACTATGCCTTCATATTTAAACCCGACGAGTTCTTTGATAAGCGTCTTCCTTCAAATGTGCCAAGTTCATGTGTTACGTTTTGGAAATAAATCCTGAAAAGCTTTTCAACCATTAGGTGATGCAGTGATCACTAATTACCATTTGTGTGAACATTTTCTTTAGAACTGTTCTTTATACCCAAACGCCCATGCGTTGACGGGATTCGAAACTGCTACTATTCAGGAACGAGGCACCTACGGCCCTTTAGCCTTTGCGACCTCAGCTATCCTTGACGACCCAGAGAAGTTCAGGTTCCTGCTTTTTTACCAAATCTGGTTATCAATAGTATCGAGGTCATGGAAATAATCTACAGCATATCGATTATCTTCAATGCCTAAACAGCATTGTTTGTTTATTCTTGCTGAATCCGAATTTGGTCAAACGAGAATTGCTATGAATTGCTATTCTATGTAGTGGAATTACGATTACAATACTTTTAAGAACGGGCGAGGGAGTAAAAAATGTGAATTGCATCTGTAACAAGTTTAATTTTGTTGTACCAACAATGTCAAATTTTAGCAATAATATTCAGATAACATTTTTCTTACCCTTTGTACCCCCAAATATTTTAAATAAAAATCTATTGCAAAATTGTTCCACGTTTAATACTAGATTAGCTGATTAATCTTTCGAGTAAAGAGCAGAGTAAAAAAAAAGTGGAGGTGAACGTGGACATGTTCCTTTAATTTCTAATAAAAAATCTTTACATGAACTTGTGTAAAAATCTGCAGTGCGACTGTTCGTCTTGCCTAGATGTTCCGTTGCTTTTAGATAATCCGTTAATTAGTATTTAAAGGCATCTGAAAAATTATCAAACCTCCTTATATCGCCAACGTTCGTTCTCAGAACTTAATGGCGCTATAACGAAGTCTCCTTGCAGAGCTGGACGGTGAAGCTGTTTTGTAGAAAAAAAATCTCATTTCATATTTAGCGTTTATTTGCGATATCCGAAGTACTAGATATAGTTGCTTACAATTTAGGATTTCGAGAACAAGAAGTCTTACCCACTTTTTCGCCAAGGAGGAAGAAAAATCGTCCGCTTATCGGTTTACTCGAAACAAAAAAAATTGAAACTTTACTAGCTGAATTTTCTTTCCTATGAGCACAATTCACCCTTTACAGTGTAACTCGCTTCCTGACCGTGCACACTACCAGCAGGTTCAAAGAACCGCTTCCTCATGCACATTTGTAAAGGTCGTCAGAAACACGAGTTCAATGCTAGATTACTTCCTGCGAAAGCTAGCGGGGTCGGAAGGACATACTACTAGTAGTTCACGTGTATCTGATAAAGCGCTGTTATACTTCTAATGTCGTCAGCCACTCGGCCATTGCTCTGCCTTATAAGGCTCCTGCCTTATAAAATTTATCTTAATTCGCGAACGACCTTCAATGGGACTCCGCCTCAAATGTGCTTACCACTGTTCATGAAGATTTTATAAATCAGGAGGTCATATCATCGGCCGTAAAAAAAAATCTAAGTACAACTGTCCAATTTCCGACCCTCTGCATTCCATGGCGAAAGACCGTACGAGGGTGGCGTTTTAGGTTCTCGAGGTTACTACAATGTATTAACAATAGAATGATTGCTCGTTGCTTGCAATTTGTGATAACAGAGGGTGGCGGGATAGAGGGGCGCTATATAGAGGTTCGTAGTTTCTTTGAGATGCGTCAAGGAGAAATACACGTGACGCCGTGTATGCATGAGGTCGTCGCGCAAATCCACGGGGCAGCAGCTAGCACCGGCAGTTCGTGGTATGTGAAAATACCATTGCCCTCGGGCCCAGATTGACCTACAGTGGCTCAAAAGTGTGGAAGCACAAGTTTCGATTAACAGAAATCTTAGAGTCTTCTCTGAATAACGGAAGAAAACCGCACCTGAATTTACAATTAAGCTTGGAATATCAATGCAAGCAAGAATCAGGATGTAGGTTATTTGTGCTAGAGTCTTTCCGCAAAAGACCTTTTTCCATGAAGACAGATTGCCAGTACGTTATTTTTGTGGTGAATTCCATATGCATTTGAAGTTTTTTATTTATTATTTATTCAGTTATTACAAGACTTTTGGACTGTATAAGTGAAGATTTGCATTAATTCATATTTATTTTATTCCTCAATTCTGCAATAATTTTTCTATGTTATTATGTATTTTCTTACATACTGTACCGTCAGTTTTGAGAGCAACTGTACAAGAAAAAACGGCAGTTTCTTGGGGACCTCCATCCAAGAGGGACACCACGCTCCAGAAAAATATAAATAACCTTTTGTAATAAATTTATTTACTGTAACGAATATGTGTAAAATTTTATATAAAAATATTGTATGTTTACTTTAATTTACCCAGGAAGTACTTGTTTTAATATGCCTATTTAATAAAGAATATTTTTACGGGTGTAATTGTGCTTGGGGGCCCAAAACTTAAATCCGCCCCTGATTGCGATTTATCTAACGTCACTCCCAGAATACATTTTCAATAGACATATGAATGCTTACGTTATAGCATATGCTGATATATTACGAGTAAACTGCCAAGTTCTCGCCACGAAAAACTAGAAATAGGCAGGTGGAAATGGCCTCGAAAAATTTAAAATCGGCAATTAAAAGCACTTAATTTTACTTATCCGTATATATACACTTTTGAAGATATTTTCTGAAGTTAATAGATTGAGGAATGATTTTAACATTGTTCTAACATTCTTCGAAATCTATTCCATCATTGGTCATTTCGGACGAAAGAGGATGAATCGCATAACTGCCTTATTGCTTTTCATTAAATGCAAGCTGATACTCGGTGCTGCATAATAACTCCATCCTCTTAATTTAAAATATTTAAAACTTTACGATGTTTTAATCACCATGCATAATACAAATTATCTAGGAGTCCTAATGGCACACACTTCCATTATATCTGAAGATTTTTCAAAAATTGCAATTTTCAAATATTCATTTCTACGAAAATAAGCATTCTTTCTATCAAGACCACCAAGCGTACTTTCTATCTAGAAAAAAGTTTAAGAACAGATTTGTAGCGGTTTGAGGATCGTTTTGTGCCTTGCAATCATTTTAAGCAGACATTTTAAGAACCACTCCTTAAAAACTATACACGACCTATTTTAAAGGTCGTATTTTTGGAACATTTCATTTACAAACTCTTCAATACTCAATCTCTCTCCAGCGGACCGACATCTGTTATCCTTTGATCCATACGGGGAGAAAAAAATAATTTATTTGAGGAAACAATTTGAAATAATAAAGTAACTACTATCGGCAGTGATTTTGCTCTTTTTTCAAAACTAAATACCCGCAGTAAAACTGAACAGATTTATCGATACTTTTGATTTCTCCGTTTTCTTCAGGATAAAAACGAAAAACTCATTTTTTTTAAAGTTTCAAGCAAAGAATTGCATTTGATCAATAAATACGAGAATAAGCAACCTTGAGTCATTTAAAAATAAAAGACCTTTATTAGTGAAATAGGCATTTATATGCACTGTAAAATTCGCATATACTACTTGAAGTTTCAAAACGCATACGCAACCTGAAATATAAAGTTATCCATCGAAGGGGAAAAAATCCACAGCTCAATGAACTACATGAAGTGGCACTGGCAACAGGTTATTCGTTTTCTTTGACTGTGTCCTTGCTATTCCACTACACGTCAGCCCATTTGGGACGTGAGCAAGGCCAGCGTTTATTGAATGAAAGCGCTGAGACCGATCTACGTAGCTGGACTAGAAATGACTAAGCAAAGTAAGCCGATGTGCGTATTAGCTGCAACGGATTTATGGGTCTAGTTTTCCCTGAATATTTTTCCATAAAATGTCGATTATGCATTGCACAAACTTAAGATGTTTCTATGTTAATCGCTACGGCTGAAGTCCAGTCTCTCACACACCTGAAGTGCGTAGCGAGTACTTTCGAGTCGTATACCCTGCCACAATTAGTTCTGTATAAAAATACCTGAAATTGGACGTGAAAGGCGGGTTCAATCTACGCTTTTCTGTAAACGAAGTACGGAACCTAATGTTATTGGAGATTCTCAAATAACCAAACTTCAAATATGCACGACAATTTCCGTAAGGTATGTCGTACTTTGTGGTGATTACATCAGGAGACTTGCCACTTATCTCCATACCCATTCACCCACACACCCCTTTCTCACCAATTACCAACCATGTACCGTACTGTATTTGGAATAATTTTGAATACACCTATGTAATTTAGTTATTAGCCAAAGAAATGTTGTGATTATTGAAAGAAAAACGCTAGTATCAAAGTGATCAATTGCTTACCGTCTTCTAAAATTGCCAAAGGTACGCGAGGGATCACTCCAGCTGCGTAATTCCAAGAGGATTTTCAAGTTCTACCAGAATACATTGCAGAGTACGATGAATTATTTTTATAGTTTGGAATAATGGAATTCCGATAAAGGCAAAATAAGACCCGAATTGCAGAAATACTACAATTGTATAATTGACCTTTAACAATAATTAAAATTAGAATACTGTACAAACTATGTACATCCGTTACTATTATACTAGTACGTTAAAGAGTCCAAACTTATGAAAAAGACTTCAGATAAAGCTTCTGTAATTGCCACAAAACTTCGATGAATACTTTCTAATTCAACGTAACTGAAAACTAAAAATTTAACTGGATAGCTGAACTAAGTACGCGACTTCCCAATAACTATTTGGTAGTACGATCACAAGCAGCGAGCAGTATCGCACAATTTGAACACCGCGAATTCCAAAAGCTGACCACCGATGGACCATGACAACACTTACACAAATTTATAATAGAACGCATGCCCCATTGGCCACTGCTAACTCCGTAAATAAACAGCAAATGCAAAAGATGTTTCTCCGATTAGTAACTCCACGCTCATTTATACCTAACAAAATTACAGAAAGCACTGAATGCAACATCCACCATTAAGCATATAGCCTACCACTCCAATAAGTTTCTAACCAACTACACCACACGCAATCTACTATAACCTCGCCTCAACGTGAACAAAACTACCACCTATCTCCATTTGACGCATTTCTAAACATTCGTTAATCTATTGTAGTTACCTTTAATAGATTTAAGATGATTAAATTAGTTTTATAAGCCAACGAATGCACCTGATTAAATTTATACTGAACTATACTGTTGAAAGAAAAATGCCAGAAAAGCTACTGCTTTGACAAAGAACTTCCATATATTTCATCTAGTTAAAGTTTAGTATACGGTACACCCTTAGAGAAGCGTGGAGGAGGGGCTTAAGCCCTAATTACTGTACGTGCTTTAATAGAAATTAATAAAACTTACAAATAGGAGATGTTCATGGTTCGCCCTTCATACAGTTTGTCCTCGCCGCATTGCAACGCCAATTTACTTTCAAAGGCAAGTTTTCTCGCTTCGCTCGCCCGGATCCAAGTCACTGCGAGGCTGGGGCCTTCGGCACTCGCGTTCACTATAAACTTCCTTGAGTCTATCCAACGCATAATTACCAATTCACTTCTATAAGACGTCACTTTTCAAGAAAGCCTCCAGAATTCTAACCGTCTAGTTAACGCCGGAACGGCGCGAAGTGTTTAAACAACTTCCTTAGGTTGTACCGTATACTAAATTTCAGCCTTTCATCTTTTCATTACGCCAACACCTGTATTCCCACAAAGCTACTACGGTTTCTGAGGCGCCCGGTACCTCGGAAAAAACTTTGGAAACCTCTGGAGCAAATTGCACAACTTTAGAAATTATTTCTTGGCTTACTATTAAAAGCCCTCTTGTCACATTACCATTTTAAAATATTACAATTTATGGCGTGTGGAAGGCAATGAATTGAAAGTAATTATTAGTTTAGGGAACTCAAAAATACAATCTAATCAAAATTAATGTAGGTGCCAAAGTATTTGGAAGAATACCAAGAGACGCCTGGTTTCAATATAACATTAAGTTTTAGAGACTGACATGCATACGCTATGGACTATTTTCCCACCCAGTGATGTATTGATATAGGGCTGGTTAAATTCCAGTGTCTTTGAAAAATCTTGCTTTTAAGACGTATGGAATCTTTATGCGCTTTTAAAACTCCGTTAACACTTCTCAGGTTATAATTTAATGAAATTTTAAAACTGGGTCTTATTTATCCTTATATGTATATGGTTTGCTAAAAACGACACCTTGTATCAAAGTAAATTTCCATCTAGTATACAGTTTTAAATGAACTTCATAGAACCCGTATATTCAAAAATTGAAAATTTCAAAGGCCACACGACAATTTAAAACTTAAGGCGAATTGAAGCTTCGCTACGAGAGGTAAATTACATGGTGAAGCTCCAACCTTCTGCTTTGACATGATTGACGAGATGAACGTGAAAAATTGTTTACCCATTTCAATACATAATTTTCAACCCCTTTTACGCCAAAATATTTAAAAATAAAACTTGCTATTTCGATATAAAATACCAAACAAATGCTCTTCGCTTCCGACCACGGGATGTCGGAACCATACGGTAGATAAAACCCAAATATGGATGTAGATGTAAAAGTAGGCAATATCACAATCTACAAAAATTAAAAATTAGTAAATATTTCCATACCAAAAAATTCCTTGGTAACTATAACTACTTACTCCTCAGCCTCTCGATGCGAAGAGCAGACACCAATTGTGAAGACTGGACGAGAGCGTCGGAAAGGGTAAGTAGTTCCCCTCACGCACCCTTATCTTTCGTTTTTCAGCGCCCCTACCGGGAAACCGCCAAACTACATCGGTACATGTTCTGCTCCGATGATGATTCTTCTTTTCGGTCGAAGATAAATCTTCTTTTTCTTTAAGGAATGTGTAAAAGAAACCTAATATGTTTAAAATTTTCAATACTACAATGAAAATAGTAATTAACATAAATTTGCTTCGTATAATTTTGAAGTTTTTTACTATTAATTTTCTAATATCTCTCATTATTTTCCGTGATCAATTCTAATTTTATTCCTAAATCATCAGATCATATTAATTAAACCGAGGATGTTTTTGTCTTGCTTCCACTCATTTCTCTGATACATTTTTTGCAATTCATTTGTCTCATATTTTGATGTATCAAGATCTAGAACAAATATTGATCCTCCTAATTGAACGCCAGATAATACACTATCCGCTGTAATCATTTCTCATTTCAGAAGTGCTTGAAAATATGTGTAAATATGAGTACAAATAAAATATGTGGACAACAATCTATAACAACAATTATAATCATACTAAGTTTTTTTTTTTAGAAAAACTAATCGTTCACTAAATGTAGCTCTTGATATGTTTTACAGACTTACCTGCTAATCATAAGAGGAGGAAATACCATTTCAAGACCTCAGTCTGGATCTAAAAGAGGTCTAAAAGATCCATAAGAGGAGGAAATACCATTTCAAGACCTCAGTCTGGATCTAAAACAGTGTTGTTTTTTGTTGTTGTTGTTTTTGTTTTTTTAGACATGTGTAATATGGATATTTGTTATCAATTCATGTTTCATAATTAGGATTTTTGTCAATCATGCAAAGTCGCTATAGGATCGAAACCATGATGTAATTTTACTTCATCTTTTTTTTAAAAGGTAATTTTGTAGTTTGGACTTTCCATTAAAAGTACCTTCAATGATTTAAATCGTACAATCAGTGGTAATATTGTGAAGTGATTTGTATTGAAATCAAGGAAAGTAAAAATGATGCTAGTCCCATTTTCGGTGAATTTTGGTATTCACAAAACTACAAAACTGAATCTTGAGAATTTTGCGTTAGACAGTCTGTTGTAAAAATATATCAGTTCTTTAAAAAAAGTTAAACATAATTTGTGAAAAATAAATAGAAGTTTGTGTAATTTGTCTTCGGAATTTATGCAATTTCGAAAAAAAATCCCAAAGACCGCACCAAATTATTTCTTTGAGTTTTAACCTCCTATGAATCAAGGGACGGATAAAACATGATGCTAGTTCCGTTTTCGGAAAGCTCTCCGTATTTTCTAAAAATTCTCATTCTAAAAAAATATTATAAAACTACAATAGAGAAAAAACGATTTTTGGCATTCTCAAATCCGTTCATTCCTTAATTCAAAGTTCAAATCATATCTTTAAAAAAGTCAAATACATTTTTTAAAGAAACGAACAAAATTGCGCGTTGGAAACATTCGGTTGAGATACTTACATTTTTAAGAGTCGGCCTGGGTTCGAAACATGCAAATCCAATAGCGTAGGAGTAAGGCTCACAACGAGTTAATTCGGAGGACCTGAATTCGAGTCTCGGTGCCAACGACCCGACAATAAAACATTTTCTATCGAAAATTCGCCATTTTCCAGTGCACAATTACAGTGATTTTTTTCTTACATTCGTATATGTGAAAAAGAAAAACTGTGTTCTGGTTGGGAATATTTTTGCATATTCATTAGTATTCATGTAGTAAGATGATTTTTCATAAAGATGATTTTTCCGCTGCCCCTATACGTTCCAAGAAATCATCGGTTCTTGTTCATAAAACCTCGGGGGACGAAATAGGGAGAAGTTGTCTTTGTTTGCTGTCCTCTGGCTACGTTAGGTCATTCTCTTTAGAACAACTGTTTAGGCGGCATTCGTATAGTTCTGACACCGTCATTTGTAATCCAAAATAATCCCCCGGTCGAAGTTACATGAATCGTCGCCTCATAAATTTCTGTGCGTTGTTTTAAGTAATAATCTACACCTCTTCATTTACTACGATCGGCGATGGTGAAGCCACTCAACAATTATACTACGTTTAGCAATTCAATATAATTTGATCAAACAAACTCTAAAACGAAAAAAAAATGTTTTGAAGCCAGATGTGCTACCGAACGTTTTGTAACTAAAACAGGATTTCACTGACTGCTTTAACAATTGCCGTCAAAAGTGCTCAATGTAATCAGATGCTCTTGCTGTAGAGAAACCAGTCTGACTTCCTTATTCGTTGAAAGAAAATATAAATAGCAATTTCAGGTATATTACGAGGTGTCTCGGGCCGTCTACGAATGACGAGTGGGTGGCAGACGGGCGGCCGCGTGTCGCCGTGCACGCGCTGGGGCTCACTACCATAACTTGGCGATTCGGGGCTCGAACGGGTGTCCCGGAGCCCGGAGCGCCAATCTTGCAAAGTAGTGCCCGGGGAACAGGCCCGGAGACGCTGCAGGTACCGGGGGCGCTCGGGGAAGTCCAGAAGGCTACCTGGCGTATTGCCCTGCTGCAGGAAGTGATGCCTGTCCATTACTCCGCCCCTTAGGCTTTTAGATGAAGGCGCCGAGGGCGGAAATCAGGGCGGCGGCCCTCGCCCGACGGCAGCACTCAACCGCCTTTTGCGAATTTTACTCTCTCGCCTGCCACGGACTTACGTAGTAAAGAGTGAATTTATGTTCGAAAAAGGGACCGTCCCTGATCTCGGAAAAGTGGATAAATCTTAGTTATTGCCCCATAAAACGTTCATTAAATCATTTTTGTTTTTTGTGTTTGTTAAAATTTCAAAATAATGGATCGTTGATACTAAAAGATGTCTTGACTGCAAAACACTTGTCCGTATTTGCGTCTATCTGAGGGTTCCTCTGTCCTGTCTGTGTCCCGTTTGCTTCCCGTTTGTCCCTCTATTCGCCTGTCCGTCTGCAGCTGGTTCATCGGTTTTTTCGTCCTTCCGTCCGTCAGCCTGGGGTCAAGAATAGCGTGTGCATTCAGAAACGACATTCTCGGAAAATTGACATTCCCCAATCGTGACGCTGATATGGAGGCTCTGTGACTGAAACGGATGATTTGATTTTCGGGATCAAGCATTAATGTTATCAATTTTTTTAAGTGACTCACTCAGTTTCGGATAAAGCAATGTAAGTTTATAAAGAGCGCAGCTCTCATTGGATTGAAATTACTGATATACCGATAATTGCAAAAGTACAATTTTTCGATGTTTTCCTACAATTACAATATTAAATATTAAATCATCGAATCAGTCAAACGACGGTAAAAAATAGGTGAAATTCTCATTTTCAGCCAACTCCCTGTATTTCTGAAAATTGAAAAAAAATAACATTTCAAACATATGAAATTGAAGATGTAGATTTTTGACTTGAAATATGTTGTAAAAAATTAGATCTTAAAAAAATGTTATGTACAAATCTTTTGGAAAAAAGGAGTTTTCGTAATATGTTTTCTCTAATATGAGCTTGTAATTAATTCAATTTATAACAAAAACATTTTCTCAAATTGTTTCCCTTTTTCAACTAATAGAACAAGGAACGCCTAAAAGAATGGCATACGTTTAGTTTTCGTTCAAATCTGTGGAATTTTGAAAATTCTAAGACACGGATTTTTTCAAATTTAGAACGATGGTATTTCCTCATTTTACCATCGGTCGCTTATTACTTGTAAATGACTTCCAGAAAATCTCAAATTTTTGCTTTGATTCCAGTGTACAAAGTAGTGGGCACGAAAGACCCGGGTGATACCAAATACAGGGTATAGCCGGTGACAAATGTCGGTAAAGGGCCGGTAAAGGCGGTGAAAAGTGCCGCCAAACCAAATCGATATTCGCAATGCTCATATGAAAGAGAATACAAAATGTCGTAGTTTCGCCCACCCAAAAAACAATAAATAAAAAAATATTTAAAAAACTAAAAAACTTCTTAGGGCAATCTGTTGCAGAGGTACAGAAATACAACGAAAAACGTTTTTCATTTTTTTTCAGCTTCTTTCACATTTATCGAGCTGAAACAAATTACAGAGATAGGGGAAAATAGTTACATTTGAAGGTATTTTTGTTGAAGTCAAATACAAAAATATAAATAAATTATTGAAATTGATTTTCGACATGATAACTTTGGAGTACTGCCTCATGTTTTTTTTCCCTAGAATGCCTGTTTCAACATTCTATGATATATATTTTTTCAAATTTTTAAACATGTGGACGATAGTGAAAAAGAATTAAAACCAATTTCGTCAGTTTAAAAATTTGAAATTTGCGCGTGATTGAAATTTTTTCGCCAATTTTTATACAATTCAAATTTCAATTATTGAAAAGTCTCAGTTGCCTGCATGATTCACACCTTTGTTGGCAAATATTTGTTTCTTATGTAGAAAGTATTTATATTATCGAAATAAAATCATCAAACCCCTTTGGTTTTTTATATTTATCTATTTCTCGAATGTAAATCAAATTATTCGATTCTAAATATATATGAATCATTTATATTTAAATCAATATACTCAGTTGTAGATTTAATTATTGACAATTAGACAATCATAGGCAATTAATTTTTGTCACTGAGTTCTTTAATATCTGGGAACACGCGTTCTTTTATAAAGCGTCTACTCAAAATTTCTGAGTAGGTTCGAGTTAATAATATGCACCAAGTAACGCGCATGTGCCAAATAAGAAATTATCGCAGCTATATGGAAGTATCATCCCAGGGTGCAACTTCCGTTCGCGCGTTCACAATAATATCGTTTCACTCCCCATATTCCCATGGTGAAAAGATGTGGGTGGCTCCTCGAATGCATCGATATTTACTCGCTCTGCGCAGCACCAGTTTGCATCACGATACGCATACGTTTGATACTATACGATACGATACGATACGTTTGCATCACAACGCGTGCACTTCGATTGAAAAGCGATACTAGACGTTTACCACACCGTTGCATGGAGAGCAAGGAGTGTTGAGAAACATTTTGAAAGTGGCATAACGTGACAATTTTCAACGGTGACCAACTAAAAATA